GACTGAGTGAAAATTTATATTCTACACTATACAATACCAACTTGTTTTCACAACCATATTGATGTTTAAGAGGAATTCCACGTTCACGAACTCTAAAACCAGAACTATGACAATCCACTGTAATAACTAACAAAAGAAACAAAAGCAAGAACTAGGTAAAGAAAAAAAATATATGGGTTCTCTAACTGTATTATTACAGTTGACCTTGTTAGTTTCTTTTGCAATATTAATCTTTCAAGCAAATGGACAAGGCCTCAAAGTAGGATTTTATCCCTATAAATGGCCGAATCTCGAACCGGTAATCAAAGACGTTATCTACAAAGTCATTTCCGAAGATCGGACTCTTGCACCTCCTTTGCAAAGAATGCATTTTCATGATTGCTTTATTAGGGCAAGTTGTTTTCTATATACAATATAATTAAGAATTGTTAATTACTAAGATAATTTTATTTACGGTAAATTATTTTTTCAAATTTTTTTTTTTTGGGTTTCGTGTATTAGGGGTGTGAGGGGTCGTTTTTATTGGAGTCTCCCACTAAGCAAGCAGAGAAAGATGCCTTCCCCAATTTAACCCTAAGAGGGTTCCAAATACTCGACAAAGTAAAATTAGCCGTCGAGAAAGCTTGTTCGGGGGACGTCTCGAGTGCCGATGTACTACCCATAGTTGAAGAGATGTCACCTTTGCAGTATATACAATTTCATACAATGTTCTCTCTCTCTCTCTCTCTCTCTCTCTCTCTCTCTCTCTCTCTCTCTCTCTCTCTCTCTCTCTCTCTCTCTCTCTCTCTCTCTAGCTAATTTCTCTCTCTCTCTCTAGCTAATTTTAGTTTCTCCTAAATATTGAGTTTTTTTTGAAAAAATAAATCATTTTGAATGCACCGTATAATTATATTATCAGATTATGGGGCCATTTTGGGAAGTCGAAACGGGGCGAAAAGACGGGAAAGTATCGATCTTGAATGAAGCCTTGACCGGGTTAATACCACCCTCTGCAAACATTAGTACTTTGAAAAAAGGATTTGCAGATAGGGGTTTAAACATGAAGGATCTTGTTGTCTTATCAGGTACATTTAAATTGGGAAAATTGTAAATTTGGTCCCCGTAGTTTGGCCTGATGCTTAGAAATTTAGTCGTCATAAACTTTCTATTTCACTGGACTTTAGTCGTGATGTAGCTAACAAACTCGTCTAAATTTGTTTATATAGGTAGCCACACAATTGGGATTTCTCACTGCTCGTCTTTTAGTAACCGGCTCTACAATTTCACGGGAAAGAACGACGCGGACCCCACTTTGGATTCCGAGTACGCAGCGAAGTTGAAGCAGAAGTGCAAACCCGGGGATCAAAACTCGATAGTGGAGATGGATCCGGGGAGTTTCAAAACTTTTGATGTATCTTATTTTACGCTCGTTGCAAAAAGAAGGGGGCTTTTCGAATCGGATGCAGCACTCTTGAACGACGGCGAGACTAAGGCGTATCTCAAATTTCAGGCACTGAATAAGGGACCCACTTTCTTTAAGGATTTTGGCGAGTCGATGGTGAAAATGGGGAGAATCGGTGTGATTACGGGCGAGGGAGGTGAGATCAGAAAAGTTTGCACTAAAGTTAACTAAGATACTATATATATATATATATATATATATATATATATGAAATAATGTGAATGTATAATAATGCTACTATATATATAGCTCCTCTTCTCTTGTGTTTTTTTTTTCTTTGATTAATTTGGAGGAAATAATTAAATAATGTATTATGGTGTGCAAAAAATTAGAAGAGGATGTTTATGTGTGTAAATA